CATTTATGACGTCGACGTCATGTTGGCGCGCCAGGTAGCTCAGGGATACCTTGGTATTGTAAAATGGAATGGGCATTGTTCAAATATTCAAGCACGAGAAAGTAAAAACTTGTTCAAATTAATAATAATTAATGAGATGAATTTAGAATTACATCATCTTATTAATTTAGAAAGGAGTTAAAAGGCCAAAGAGCGGCCACGCTAAGTCATTATTGAATCTTTCTTTTAGATGATTTCCTGTTCATTGAGGAAGATGAAGAGTCTTTTGCTTGAAGAGCTTTTCAGCCTTTGCGTGGTTGCTCGTCGGAATACTCATTTGTTTCTTGAGGCGGCGGCGCTCCCTCGTGGAGACTGCGGGTGCTCATTGGCCCGTCAGCTGTCTTCAACTGGAGGGGCAGGTTTACTTTCATTGACATCGAACATCTTTTGTTGGTGTATCGATATTTTGCCAAAATTTGCCATTTCTAGGTAGGCCCCGCCTTCTCCATTGTCTACTCCGAGGTACCGCCTCTGTCCTCTGTCAGAATTTGTAACTCTTCGAGACTTTGCAGTCGCTGTGTGGGCGCAGGAAATCGGCAATCTTTCACTCGAAGTTTCAGAAAAACCAGTAAAACGGCAAATGGGAAATATCATTCACTCAACGTGTGTAAACATCTACACGTGGTGTCCTTCACGAAATATGAAATAATATCCAAATTCTCATTTACGAAGCATCAAACTGTCTGGAATTACGTTCACGAAGCGCAGAAAATTCGGAGCGGAATACAAAAAATACTCATATTTTCAATAAATTCAACATTACCTTATTTTAAGATCTGTTTTTATTAACACATTTCATTAAGAAACAAATTATATCCATACAATTGTAGCTGTAAGATGACGCCGTATTTTTTAAAAATATTTTTCAATATTAGCAAAATCAGGCATTTCAACGAACATGAGGCCCACACAGTTCTCTTTACCATCCTTCATCCTATCTAAGATTCCAATTTAATGAAAAAATGTTGTGCGAGTTTTAAGAAAAATGGTTTAAAGAAAACAAAAATATGCTGTTTGACACAAAATTTCGCAAAAAATACTCATGTTTTGAAAAAATTAACGTGATAATATTTGAAGATCCGTCTTTAATGAACACATTGTAGTTGCAGGAAGAAGACGATTTTTGAAAATTTGGGAAAATTTTTGAAAAATTAGGGTTGTCAAGGAACATGAGACATGCAAGATTTTCTTAAATGTTCATCAGACTATCCAAAAACAAAATTTCATACAAAACGATAGAGCCATTTTTGAGAAAAAATTAAATAAAATTAAAAATTGCCTAATTTTACTCCAAATTTCACGAAAATTTTACGAAACATTGTACATGACCTTGTTCATCCTACCTCTGTGTTTAAGGAACCGATTTTATCAAGGGGAAAATCTCTATATTTAATATTTTTCCTCTTGAAAGACCCCGAAAAAAATTTTGAATTTTTGCAATTTTCGAAAAATCTGATTTCAACGAACTAGAGACCTGCACCATTCTCTTAGACGTCCTTTACATCATCCAACAAAAAATGTAATTAAAAACGATGAACCCATTTTTTTAATTTGCAAAATGTTCCATGAGCTTCATATAAAGTACCTCCAAAAATTAAAATATCGGTATCAAATTCAAGGAGTCGTGACATCAGCCAGATCGACATGGGAATATCAATTTTAGAGAAAATCGGCTGAACGGTTTAGCCACTAGTGTTGTTCACAGACAGACAGACTTTTGCGGTCAATCGATTTTCCGGAATCAAGGAGTCACAAAACATGAATTGTGGCTACATATCACGTGTGAGAGATCCCCCCCTCTATTTAGCAATTGGATTTATCCACTTTTTCGTTGACAGTTATTTTTTTTGCCAAAAATGCGCCTTTTTTCGTACAAACCTTTCTCTGTACTACGGTAGCGGTAGCGAGAAAGTAAACATTTTTCAGATGCTGCAGTAGGACTAGGTGTAGAAATAGGAAAATTCTGGCCATAACCTGCCTCCTCCACCCCATTTCAAGATTTAATCAAGGAATATGTTAATACTGTTAAATTATATGTAGTTGTTACAATAATTGTTATCACGTACTGTTATTATTATTATTATTATATTATTAATCTTACATTATTCAGCAGTAATCTACTGGTCGGTATGTCACACTCACAGGAATGATGACCAGGTGTGTGTTGCTTACTGAAGGGTTTCAGATGGCTTCTGACAATAGGCATGCTCATTCAAATTTATGTTTTGCATTTATATACATTCTGGTCTCCAGTGAAGACACTCCAGTGCTTGAAGTGTTCTTTTCGGATCACTACCCGTAGCTGATATTATTATAGGCCACAGTCGCCATTTACTGAGTTCACTGAGCTCGACTTCATAGGCGAGATTGGTATACTTCTGGATTTCTCTTGATATTTTGCCCGATAATGTTGTTGGGTATTGGGTATTTGATATGTGTAAGAACGCTGCTGATGGTTTCGTATCAATGTAGTTATATATTGGTCTATTGGCCGCCGAAATGTCTGTCAGTGATAATGGGCGATCCAGTAGAGTGTGTGCTTCACTACTTTCAGCACATTCTGAGGCACATATTTATAATACGGCACGGAAGTGGCGAGTAAGCCTGTCTCATGCCAATAATTGTTGGACCTGCTTCGCACTTATCATGACTCTTTTTGTAATTGCAACTGTGGGCGTGTCTGTCTCACTTGTCACGTTTGTTGGATTGTTTTGCTTGCAGCCTCACATCTTCTACAAGTCGGAATAAATGGTAGAATCTCTCAGAATGTGTTTTCTGTAGTTCAATTGGTTGGTACATTGGTCCTGGATGGCTATCATGAAGGCTTCTGTCTCGGAAAGAGATACCCGTGCCTGGAGCGCAATGCGTGCGACGCAGAGATGTCATTCTGGTTTACTTAGCTCGTGAGGGTACTTCGCATGCAGTGCTTCGATTCCATAAGGTTATCTCTCTTTTGTTTCAATGTTGGTTACAGTGGAATAAAGCTTTTTCAAGTTCAGAGGGTATAGTTATTATCAACTGCGTCACTGCTGCTGAACTCTCCACATGGTTCCAGAATGTATCTTCCTGAGTGAAGCATTTTTGAGAGTGTGTATGATTTATGAGATTCATACCTCGCCCTCTGCGACCTTTGGGAGGGTTAAAACGCCGTCTTGAATGGGATGATGTTTCGGTGTCGAGTATTAGCGGTTCGAATGTGTCTCTGGAGGTTGTCGAGGTCTGTATTGCTCCATTTTAATAAAGCCTTAATTATTATTATTATATTATTATTATTATTATTATTATTATTATTATTATTATTATAACATAGTAGCAGTAAAAGGCATATATCAAGAAAAATGAATATTTTGAGAATGAAACGGGAATAAATCTTGCAATGTTCAAATAATTTGCTCTAAGAGTAGTTATCTATGAATGTAATTGTTAATTTTTCTGTAACAAGTTATTGGTAGTTATATCTCGTAGCCAATGGACCCCATCTTGATCAGATTTTTTTGTCCAGTTTCCGCTGATCCTTGAGCAAATGCTGAGCAATGACCCTTGTTTTGCTTTGACAATAAAAATAAAATGTAAAATTAATTAAAGACGTTGTCATTGGCCCAAATATTATTTAATGCACATAGCATGCTTTCGATGGCTTAGCCAATTATCAGTTGTCCTGCTAGATGGAAGCCACAAAAACGACTACGCGGGTCGGGCGAGCCGAGGGGCTTAAGTACCCGGCCGTGGGGTAGGAGGAAGGGCAATGGCCATGGGTGCCGGTGCGCGTCACTGTGCGCCCACGGCGGGGTGCGGTGGTGGAGTGGTGTCTAATAGTAATTTTAGTAAAGGAGAAGGACTATTTGTTTTATGTTTCAATTAATAAGTTATTTATAAAATGAATATGTAGGTTTTCTAATAGTTAGTCTGGTGTGGAGTGGATTTCCTATTTCCAAGTATACGAATGTCTGTGAGTGTGGATTGAAATGTATGGCCTGTCTGGAGTAAATGATTGGCAAGTGAGATTCTACAGGTGTTTGTTTTCCAAGCATGTATGTGTTCTTGATTCTGGTATTGAAAAGTTCTGCCGTTTGACCAATATTTGTTATGTAATGTATATCTGGACTCCATAAAAATAATAATTATTTTATATTAATTCATTATTATTATTATTATTATTATTATTATTATATTAGTGATATTATTATATTTATTATGTTTCCAATAAACTTTATTGAGCGTCAATCAAAGCAATTACTTTGACAAATGCAATAATGTATACAAATTGCTGGAAATATTCATTTTAAAAGTGTGAGAGGTATTTCAAAATAACAAATTCAAAATAATTTGTGTAATGAAAAAACATAAGAATACAGCAGTAAATAAAATATAAGGTTTTTCAAGAAAATTAAATCATGGTTGGTAGTAGCGCTTTGAGCGGAACCAGCTTGTACTGTCGTACAAGAATTGTGATTCTATCTTTGGCCACAGGAGTGCGTTTGCTGGTTAACTAGTTTTAGAAGTGTTTTAATTGCGCGACCTTTAATTTAATCCATATCAGATATATTATAATTAAATAATATTTGGTAATTTTTATAATAAATTTAGTCTAATCGAAACTCATTTTATATTGCTCCGAAGATATGCCACAAGCCTATGACAACAGAATGCCTGATAAAGTATTCAAGAAGTTTTTATGCCCGCAATTGCCCTTCGCGTTTGCTCATTTGGTTTTGCTGGGTCTCATCGGGACTCATGCGTATGCAATAATTCCAAATACAGTGACTTGTTACATCAGAGGACCTTTAAAGCGTTTCATAAGTTTTAGTGCCGAGTAGATCTGCTAAGCGTTGCATCGAAAGTACTTGGTTTAATCCAATAACAATGGTATCGTGTGCTGCAAATCGTGTATTACATGTGGGTAAGTGCGGAAGTAACCGGTTAACAAAAGTAGGCATTTTACAATAAATTTCAATTTAGAGATGAAGTACTTTACAAAATTTATCAATTACTTTTCAAAATATTACCCTATATGCACATACGTTCTTAGTAGTAGTAAACATTTCTATTTTTAGCTCGTGTTGGAAATGCTACCCAAAAACTTTGGGGAGCTAGGAGTATATGGTCTCTTTCAAGTCTTTCAGAAACGCATCAAATGCTTCAGAAAACAGTGCGCGATTTTGCTGAAGCTGAATTGAAACCTAATGCCGGCAAATACGACAAGGAAGGAGTTTTCCCAATGGAACAAGTAAATGAAATTTAAAAAATTAGAAAATCAAATTTTCATAACACTAAATCATGTTAAATGTGTATTCTTGTCGGTTTTTTTTATTTCGCTTATTATTTTAGATTAAAAAAATGGGAGATTTGGGACTTATGAGCATTGACACTCCAGAAGAATATGGTGGAACTGGACTAGATTCTTTAGCCTATTCTATAGCTATGGAAGAAATTGCTAGAGGTTGTGCTTCTGCTGCTGTTATGATGAGTGTAAACAGTTCTCTATTTCTTGGTCCCATTATGAAGTTTGGTAACAAGGAGCTGAAAGATAAATTTGTGCGGCCATTTACAACTGGAGAGCAAGTTGGTTGTTTCGCATTGAGTGAACCAGGTGAATACTTTGACAGATTACTTTTTAATCTGTTTCTAATCTGGAATTGAATTGCAACTTCATTTCATAGGGAATGGAAGTGATGCTGGGGCTGCATCTACTACAGCCACTTCTAAAGGAGACACATTTGTATTAAATGGTACAAAGGCATGGATCACGAATGGTTATGAATCAAGGGCTGGAATTGTATTTGCTACCACTGATAAAAGCAAGAAACATAAGGGCATTTCTGCTTTTATATTTCCAAAACCAGTAGATGGTGAGGCTGTCAAAGTTAAAATATAATTTTAAGTTTAATATAATAATAATATAATAACTTAAATATAAAGCATTTTCTGAAAATATAATACATGAAAGTTTTGTTAATTTTTTAATTTTCCACAGGCCTCTCTCTGGGGAAAAAAGAAGATAAGCTGGGTATTCGAGCATCTTCAACTTGCCAACTTATCTTTGAAGACTGTGTTATCCCTAAGGAAAATATGTTGGGAGAGCCTGGAATGGGCTTCAAAATAGCCATGATGTCCCTTGGTAAGTGGATGATTATAAATAATGGTTTTTGATGGTTACAATTATACTTTATTCAAGATCTTTTGTTTAAGGTCTGTATGTTTCTGAACATTTTTCTACTTTAAATCAGAAATTCAGTGTTTTTACAAAAATATTTTAATGGTCAGTAACAACTAAATACAACTTTAATAAGTTCTAAATTTTATTTTCAGCGAGTTAAAAATTTTAAAAATATAGTCTAAATTTAGTGACATAATTATTAACCATTGATTTTTTATATAATTGGGCTTATCAAAATAGTGGAGTTGGAGTATGCAGCCATTGAATATGCATTTTATTGTAAAGATTGTGCTCTGAAGTGTAAGAAGTCAATGTAATACATTAGAATTTAGATGAATCTTTTGTAGCATTAAGTAAATATTAATAAACTACTGTAAAATATTTCTATAATATATAAAAATAGAGATAGATATAAACAGTGTGAAGTAGCTACAATTAAAGGGGGCAATGTCATCCAAATATTGTCAGAAAATATTTGTTTATGTAGGTGTACTTTACTGTCAAGGTCATGGGTGAGAGTATATCTGCACCTTTGATCTTGTTTGGAAGATTTTAAAATGACTAAGCATTGAAATAAAACAGGGAAAACTGTATGTGATGTAGGGGGGGAAAAGATCTGCGCATGTTTTCTTGAGTTCCAGAATCCCTTCCCGTCATTTTAACTATAAATAGTTGAAAGGAGAGTAAAAGTTTAAAATAAATAAATAAAAATAAATTTTAAAAATCGCAAGATTAGTAATATTTGAAAAATAGTCATTTTTGTTTCTGAGTTATAGAAATCTTATTTGCATCGGTACACGAGTTGCAAGTATGATTTTGATGCATAGCTAACAAAATTGCAACTTGCCCTTACCTCTACTCTTACCATTACAAGCAAAAGGAGAGTTCAACAAAACGTGCGTATAGTGAAGCAACATTTGCGTCCAGAAGCAAAACAAGGGCCCATTTTAGCATTTGCTCAATGGATCAGGGAAACTGGACAAAAACCTGATCGAGATGCTTAAATATTAATTTGATTTTATAGTAAATTTTGATATTCTACTAAATAAACATTTTGAATGTAGAGGTCAGAATGATGGTAGTTAAAAAAAAATAAGTAGTATTTTTTGTTGTTTTAAAGCTGAAATGGTCATTGTGATATTTTGTATGTGTGATATTTAACCTCATCACAAAAAACAGATATTAGTATATTGATTTAACCGAGAAATTTTAATATGATTTGTTAAATACAAAAGAAAAATTTAATTGTTTTTGAAATTAAGTTATAAATTGCATTTAACATCTTCAGATGGTGGCCGAATCGGAATTGCAAGTCAAGCTTTAGGGATTGCTCAGGCATCTCTAGATTGTGCTGTTGATTATGCCACAAAGAGAAATGCATTTGGATCTCCAATAATTAAACTTCAAGCAATTCAGGTTTGAACAAAAATTAAAATTAAAAAGATGATCAAATTTAATGTGAAAATCACACTCTATTAATTTTTCATTCATTCATTCTTTCTTCTTCTCCAGACTAAAATTGCGGACATGGCTCTTAGGGTAGAGTCAGCTAGGTTGCTCACCTGGAGAGCGGCCGTGATGAAAGATAATAAAAAACCTTTCACAAAGGTGAGTGATAAACCTTTTACTTAAATCCTGCAGTAGTTTGGGGGAAGGGTGTGTCAGATACCAGGGTAAATATTTTTCCTAATTCCTAGAAAGTGACATTACTTGTCAATTAACTGACGACTTTGTAAATCTTTTCAAGGACATGGGGAGTTTTGAGACGTACAGGTCCACTGAACGATTCACAAAACTTCACTGTGGAACTTTTTAATATACAGTAGTACTCATTTTTGATATTATGAAACTTTATTCGTATTTAATTTGCAGGGATTTTTTAATACCTACTTAAAAAAATTATATTATGCCTCAATTTTTGATAATTAATATCAGTGCTTATTTTACCTTTCTTTTCATCTTTACTTTAGCGAATAAACATATTAAATAATGTTTATTAAACCAACTATTTAGATAAACTGAATTAAGTATTCCTTTTTTGTTGTTATTTGTTTACAAGACTTGGTCAGTGTAAAATTATGTAGTGAAATGATTGGGATTACACAAACCCAACTGGGCCACTGACATTTCAAATAGACGTCAGACCAATGCAATGTTAAAAGGTTCAAGATTGAAATGGATTAAATACAAAAAACAATTTTGTTAGATTGTGAATTTCATGCAAGAAATCTTATATACAATTAATAGTTATCAATCATGATAGAATGAAAAGTTTATTCTTCTCTAGTTATCTTTTCTGAAAATGAAATGATCCATCCCTCTTGTTGAATTCGTCTTGTTTGAATGTAGGGCTGCTATCTCTTCTGTAACAGTGGGGACCAAGTTTTCCTCACTTCTAGACAAATGAACAGATTAATTAATAAGTGTTCTGATTCCAAACCTGGCAACTTTAGATCGCAGTGCCATTTAGGTTTAGAGGTGGTGGTCAGGGTAACATGTGCATTTTGGTTTTGATACAAGTTCTGGTTGTTGATATTCTATGCAGTTGATTTCATTAATATCCTTTATACTAACAAACTGAGTCTCTCAAGTATAACATACAAGTATATAAGTGTGCAAAAAAATTATTTTTGTAACTGTATGTACTCTGAGATTGATTGGTAATTTGATGTTGGACTCACCAATTTGGTATGAAAATTTCTGCAGGAAGCTGCAATGGCAAAATTGGCTGCGTCAGAAGCAGCAACGTACTGTGCGCACACTGCTATTCAGGTGTTAGGTGGAATGGGCTTTGTCACTGACATGCCAGCTGAACGTCACTACAGAGATGCACGCATCACAGAAATATATGAAGGAACTTCAGAAATTCAGCGCCTAGTCATAGCAGGAAATCTTGTAAAGGAATACGGATATTAAGTCCTAGATTCTCAGATATTGTGATGTCAATATAAATAAACATAAATGGGAAAAGAAATACATTTTTTTAAAAGTATAGTGCAGTTTCTCTTAAGTTTGCTTGCATCATTGTGTGGTATTTGAAAATTAAAGAAGTATCCAAAGACTGCATAAATAACTCTCAAGTCATTTCTCAAATATTAACTTTGTAAATACATAATTCAGATTGTATATGAAATATATTTTTGTATTTATTTTAAGAATTTATATTTTAATAGGCCCTTGATAAGATTTTAATTATGTCTATAATATAAATGTCAAATGAATTTTCTTAATGATGGGGAATTTTAAATAAAAATTGTTTTTAATAAGACTAGTTTATATTTTAAGATAATAAATTGCATTGAATGAAAAGAAATATTGAGTGTATTGAACCTCAGGTTATTATCAGGCAGCATGTTTTTATAATTGGTGTTTTATATTAATAAAGAACAAGTGTGTTAAATTTTGTATTATATTTATTAATGTGTTAAAGTACCCGATATTTCCATTCACATACTCCCAGGTATGAAAAATCATGTTTTTTCCAAAGCCTACATTCTTTTACCTAACTTACGGAACTCTTGCAATCAACGCCATTTTCACTAGTCTTGTCTAGCAATCTCGTGGAGTGTGGATCGATTAAGTCATCATAACAAATCTAGTGTATTGTTGTCAACACGTGCAACGAATGCCCGTCAGTGGAAAGGCGTATTTACAAATCATACTTAAATTACTACTTGTAGGACTAAGCTAGGCGTGTTGGATTTCACAAAGAGGTCCGGCCTTTTGCCCTTGTGATTTACACACATCATCCCCATTGATCATCCCCGAGTCCATCCAAAGCATAATTTCTAAAGCTTTTCCAAAGCAACTCTTTGAAACTGCTGCATTCGGGATTTACATAAAACATAGAAAGCGCTCTCTCAAGGGATGAAGTGTTAGTTCCCGGCACCACTAAACGTGTCTTTTCACGACAAACTTTCAATTCGTCACCATTAGTTGTGTGAAGAGCATATCACGGAGCCACGAACATATGCGAAGACAGCCGAGCGGAGTCGACAAAATTTTTACACACCAAATGATTTTTGAGGTAATAATTCGCATTAAATTTAACAAGGTTTGTATAAAATGCGTTGGACAGACTCGACGATATTTTATCTTAACGGGAGGGCCGAAGATTCGAGCCTCTTTCTCGAATTGGACACGCATACCGAAAATTCACAATTCCGCGGGAAAACTTCCGATTCAAACTCCAAACCAATGTAAATGACTAGTCTGGAGAGGAAAAGAATCCACGAACGTATATGAAGATAGCCGAGAAGAGAGCTTCTTGTCTTCTCGGCTATCTTCATGTACGTTCGTGGCTTCTTTTAATTTCTTTATTTCTTTCCTTTTCAGGATATCATGCTTTTCAGTGAGTTGGATAGGTACATATTTTGGATTTTTATCCTAATTTTGTTGTTTTCATTTTAGCTGACTGTAACCTTTGCATGATGGTGATTATAGATATAGTGTAATTATTTTGCATGGTATTTTAACGGGATGTTGTCTTGAACAGTATTGAATATATTCATATTGTATTTTTTGTTCATAGACCTGAGTATAAAAGTCTACGGTGGTCGAAAATCGACTCTAGGGAAGCGGGAACGGATTGTGATTTTTGAATTTGTGGATTTGTTGAGAGTGCAAGGTGGGAGCTGTATTTGAAGTAAAATGATTCATTTATTTTTGACAAAAATTCAGTTATGTATTTGGCTATTGCTAACGAAGCAAGGTGCTGTAATGATTTTTCATAGAAATTTGTTTTGAATTTGTAATAGTTTGACGTGACTCGGTGCAGAGTTGACTTCGTCGTTGGTAGAGGGGCCGCCGTTTCGCCCGGACAGCCAGGATGTCATTGACTCGAGCCGCGGAAGCCAGCCTACTTGTACGTCCGTGCAGAGTTGTGCCATGCAGAATAGGCATATGTTAGTGTAGGATGAATTATTGGTTTAAATAATAACTATTTTGATACTGTTTGGATTTATAGTTTATTATTATTTATTATTCGTAGCTCCACATTTGGCTCTCTTGAGACAGAAGTTTCGCCATTGGTCGGCAAAATTATTTACGGAAACGTGTTGTTAGATGCTGTTGATGCATGGATGCTGTTTTCAGAACAATTAGTATGTACTTTCAGTGCAATCATACTATTTTCAGTACAAGAATTATAAATGCAATGAATTTTCATTACAGAAAATTGATTACATTAAAAATGAACTAACTTTAAAATAAAAGGGGGAAAAATAAAAAGCAATTATTTGGTAGTACTAATAAATTAGGAAGGTACATGAAAATTCAGGGCTCTGAAGATATTTTCTGAAGTGTGATGATTGTTTAAGCTCAGATAAATGTATATGAAATCGAAAATAGAAATTTCCATTTTGAATGTACACTTAATACATATCTCTGTGAAAAACCCTTGGTTTTAAAAATGCGGCGAAAATCACGAAATTACCTATTAAATTCACCGTATTGCAGCCTGATCTACATTTGAAATATTTGTTATATTGTGAGTAGGTTGCATGTTAAGTTTGTGATTCAAAGGAAATGTGACGAAAATAAAATATATAGGTGTTGTGGTGTGATATCTTTGGCATTTCATAAAATAATTAAAGACGTTGTCATTGCCAACAATATTATTTAATGCAAAAGCAGCTTTCGATGGCTTAGCAATCAGACAACTGATGATGGCTAAGCCATCGAAAGTTGCTCTTGCATTAAATAATATTGTTGGTAATGACAACGTTTTTAATTATTTTATGAAAATAAAAGAGTTCTGAGAATTAGAACAGGAGGGGCTGATGTGGTATTTACTTTAGTTATTACTTTCTGGTATCCTCCACACGTAGTATAAAAAGAAGTTATGTAAAGTTGCAGCGAAAAACTACTATTTTCGGCAGAAAAAATCGTATTGTAGATCCTGATATCGAAAAAAGAAAATAATTCTTGTTCCTATACATAGTATATTTCTTCCTTTAGCACGATGTGTAGTTAGAATCCAGGTTTTGTGGGTCCTTGCTACTGAAAATTGTTTTACAGTAAAACGTCTAGCCGCTAAAACGTAAGCAGGATTGATAATTCCTAGTTGATCTGACGGATGTCCCGGCCCCTTGATTTTGAAGGCTATGTTTTAATTTTTGTAGATTCTTTACTTGAACCCTCAAGAACACTTTCAAAGTTTTCTCAAAAATGGCTCCAACATTTTTCATTAAATTTTGCCCTCTGGCATTATGAAAGACGCTTTAGAAACGGCGCAGGTCACAGTTTCGTTGAGGTATAATTTCCGAATATTGTAAAAGTTAATTTTTTTCGCTGTCTTCGAACTATAGTGATGAGATTTTTCCTCTGAATAAAATTAGTTCTTCGAAATTATATCTCCAATGAGAACTTACCATTTTTTTCAAAATATGAATAGTTTTCGCGCAATGTTGAGGCGTGGATCCACGGGCAGGGAAATGAGGAAAATTTCTTCCCTCCCTTAAAAATTTATCAGTAATAATAATTATTATTATTGAATCACATATACAATTACAATTGTGTATGACGATCAATATGTCTTGGGTGGAGGGGCTATCTCAGCATTTGCTCTAAGGACTGGGGAAAGTAAACAAAAATCTCATCTAGATGGGGTCATTGGCTTAGGGATTATACTACAATACTTGCTACAGATAGATTAGGATATTATACAGAAGATAATTATTTTTAGTGGCAAATAATTTAACATTTCGTTTTGTACAATTTCATGTTTAAAGTGAGAGTAAAATTTACTAGTTATTGTCATGTTACTGCTTCTACTTATAATAATAATAATAATAATAATAATAATAATAAGAAGAAGAAGAAGAAGAAGAAGAAGAATGAGGAGAAGAAGAAGGAGGAGAAGACGAAGAAGAAAAGAAGGAGGAAAAGAAAAGACGAAAGAAGAGAAGAAAAAAGGAAGAAGAAGAAGGAGAAGATTATAGTAATTATTTTAATAAACAATATTGTTTCAATGCCGACACATATAATTATTTCATTAGAAATGCAACGATAACTCGTCACAATACTTATAGAAGAAGAACTACAAACAACAACGTGTGCCAACGATTGCATGGACTCTTAAAAACTCAACTCTGCTAGAAACCATGTGCAGGCATCAATTCATTTGTTATTCCAGTGCTGACATACAATCCTTTGGCGTATTAAATGGAGCAATACCGACCTCGACAACCTCCAGGAACAATTCGAACCGCTATGACTCAACACCGAAAACATCATCCCCATGCAAGTACTGAGCGTTTTACTCTTCCAAGGTCGCAAGGAGGGCGAGGTATTGTAGATCTCATAAATCTACACAGCTCTCAAATTGCTTACACTCAGAAGATACTTCTTGGAACATTGTGGGAGTGTTCAGCAAGCAGTGACGCAGTTGATAATATTTATTGAGTCGCAATACAATTACAATCGTGTAGTCGAACACGAGTCAATATGATGTCTTGGGTGGAGAGAGCGAAGTTACAGGACTGTTCAGGAGCAACAAGGGGCCATCTCAGCATTTGCTCAAAGGACTAGGGAAACGAACAAAACCTGATTGAGATGGGGTCATTGGCCTAGAAATTATACAACAATACTTGTTACAGTTAGATTAGTATTATACAGTAGATAATTATTTTTAGTAGCAGATGATTTAACATTTCAAGATGTTATTTTAATGCTGCTACTTATAGTAGTAGTAGTATAATAATAATAATAATAATAATATAATAATATAAATAATAATAATAATAATAATAATAACGAACAATAACATATCAATTCAGTTAGCAACTACATAAAATTTCACAATAGTATTACATTCTATATTTAAAACTTGAAATGGTGAGGAGGCAAGTTTTGGCCAGTTTTTTTTCTTTTTTCTTCTTCTCAATTTTTACACGTAGCCCAGAGAGAGATTTTTTTTGGCGGGGGGGGCGTCAGGCATTCTCCTTCTGTTTCTCTGGATGCGATATGCCAGTTCTTTTTTCTTTGCTTCAACTCGAAACAGTTTACGTGAAACAGAAAGTCTAATGGGATAAGAAATTCTTATTTATTTATATTTTTCAAGGGAAATGTAATTTGAAAATACCTTTACACCGTTCAACATGATGTTTTGCAGGAACTTCAATTTGCTTTTAAATGTATGAATTGTGTTTATGTCTTTAATTTCATTGCCTAGTTTGTTGTAAAGTGTAATGCCCTCTATACAGGTACTTTTTTGATAAAGTGTAGTTTCAGAGTGGGGAACATGTAGGTTATCCTTTTGACAGGGGTTGTAGTTGTGTAATCAGAATTTAAAGTAAAAGTGTCTTTGTTTTCCATGAGAATTTTCTTTGCCATTATTCCAAATTTATACATGCATGGTAGAGGAATATGCATGGAAGCATACATGCATGGAAGAGATAATAACTATAGTTCTCTGAACTTGAAAAAGCTTGTTCAACCAATCATTGAAACGGAAGAGA